TCTACAAGTATATTGGAAAGCGGGAGTAAATGATGAATTTTCTATCGGTTTTTCAATTTCCTTCTCTTCAACCTGTGACGTAAATATAGAATACTCCTTAAATTACTTTTTCTTTAAAGCTATATATTTAATAACTACTCTTAATAATAAAATTTTTAGTGTGCCGTTATCACAAAATCCGTTAAGAGAATTCTATTTTTAGAATTTCTTAGAATTTTCATTTTTTATTCTTATTAACATTGTAATTTCAAGAAGTTAACTTAGTATAGACGTCTTTAAGGTTAACTTTAGTTCATTATAGAACTATGCACTTAAGACTTTTATATTATGAATATTTCAAGTACTGAACTTACTGTGTAATACTGATGTTTAATTGTGAATTTTTCATTACCCAAAAATAGTGAAATACAACATTATGTAAGGACGAGTTTAAAAATGAGTTTGTAATATAATTTTAAAAAAATCCTGGAATGTCAAAGTGACCTCGTATTTACTACTGTGGTGTCCGCTTTCTTTACTGGGCACATGTTCACGAGTTTTTAAATTGGGAAAGAAAAGTGTCTCATTCTCCGTGTTAATAAAGGCCTATAACACAAGTAATTATATAAATTTCTACTATAGTTGTTGTTTAAAAAACTTGTAATATTTATATATTGACCTCTACTTGGTCATTGATTAAATGACCGTACATAAAAGAGTTTGGCATTCCTTTTGAGTTTAATGAGTTTAGATTAAAGCTTATAAAAAATATTAAAATTCTAAGTACCTTCTATACACCCAGAATAAGTGAGAATTCTGTGTTTATAAAGTCTATAGTGGTCGCTGGTATCTGTATAGTATGCCATAGCGTTTGGAATTTGAGTAGCTTTTACGTTGAGAACTTTAGAACTAGTTTTTAAAGGTTACGATATAGCATAGGCATAAAATTTAATTATGAAAAATTAAAGATATTTTACGCGTTCGTGAAGTTAATATCTACTTTAACACATTGTTCCTGTTTCGAGTACTGAAAACTCAAACCTAGATTACAGATTATATCCATTAAGTTTTATTAAAGATGTAGCTAGTAAAATTGAAACCAATGTTGAAAGATATGATCCACAAATGGAAAATTATATGAACTGCAAACATAATAAGCTCTACTTCAAATTTTATAATAGTTAATAACTTACTAAGCTTATATTGGGATAAAGCCTTAAGTTTTAACTATTTATAGTACTGAAGGCTAGGTACCTGTCACTAACATTTAGTAATGATTTAATATATGCGGCAATATAATAATATTATTTATTCATAAGAGTAATTCTTAACTTTCTCTTGGGTATGAAAGTAAATAAAGTAAATGCCCTGTGATTAGCAACTATTGTTGTCGGATTGGCGTAGAAAAAAACTTAACAGATTGCATAATATATAAAAAAATGGCTCATTGTTGTTAAGTGGAAGCATGTTATTACATTTGTAATAATTTAAAAAATTCGTATAATTTATTAGCTTATGATTTAAAACGGGAAATTTATGTATTTTTTTCACAATTTAGAAATTCCATAATTTTACAATAAAATTTTCAATTAACGTTATAATTATAAATTCTTAATCTAAAGATAACTATTTTTTCCTCTTAGTAATCTAAATTTTGTTAGAATTTTTATTTTTGTAAGCTTAAAATTTAAACTTTGTATATAAATTAGCCCAAGTGATTTTATGTAACATTTATGACGGTTTTTGGTTAACTAAACTATGTTTCTTAAAAGTAACCACAATATAATAATGGGTAATGATGACGGAATATATTATTAAATCATTTTAACTTTTAAGGATTAAATTTAATTAATAATTTATACAGGATGTAAGATTTTTGCAGAGATAAAACGAATTTAAACTTTAAAATACGAACTCTTAACCCTAATTCTGGTCAAAAATTTTTTAAATTTTTATGGAGCTTTAAATTATTGTGTAATATTTACTAAAACTCCTTATTACATAAGTTAATAATTTAGATGTAATAAAAAAATAATATAGTTAAATACATGTTTATCAATTGTACATGATTTGTTAGCTTTAAATTCTTTTTTTAATTCATGTTGTTACTTAACTAATTAAATATGTTTATAAAAATAATTTGATCTAGAAATCAGGTTTGCGAGTTTGCCTTTCAATAGAACTGATTATAAATAAGATACTTTTGGTCAGAACATTATATATCACTTGTGTATATAAAAGTTTTTTGTATCCAACTTCTTTTATATAGTTATTTATTAAAAGAACAAATTGCTATTAGCTTAGGCATACAAAATAAAGGTTATTATCTTTTTTTGTGACCTTTTTTATAATAAAATGTGTATTTTCAAATTATTTTGCTAGTTTTCGATTCTTTGGAAAGAGTAATTAATATGATAATTAATTTAATACTTGGTATTAGTTAATTTGTAAAGAGAGACATGTGGATATGCGTTTGTAAACTTTAGTTCTACTTAATAATATATTAGTTTTTAAAACCACAACTTTTCGTTAACTGGAAAAAATAGAGATGTAGCTAATGTGAATTAACTGCAAGTACAAATTTTTTTTATGGGATGCCTAATACCTACAAATGTTTGACAATATAGACTTAACTGGTTTTCATAATGACAAAACACACTGATTGCTATTTAGATAAGAATGATCCAAAGTATAGAATATCCTCCTAAAAATTATTAATTTGGACTTGTCTTTCATTTATTATTATTTTTTTGTAATAAAAAATAAGGTAGAAAGTCTCAGTAACAGATTACAACAACTTGGGTAACGTTCAAATACTAATATCATTAGAAGGTTAACGTTCAAAAGACAGTTTAGTTTATGGCTGATAAAGGTAGAAAGTTGAACATCTATTTTTATCAAAGGGTATTGTATTATTTATTCAATCTTTTCAAAGTAGTTAGTATTAGGAAAAAATTTATGAAACATATTTTTTAAATCCGCTAAACAAAGAGTAGGTAAAACTGGAGCAGCGGGGATATTTATGAAAACCCCGTTAAAATGTTAATATAAGATTTAAAAAAAAAACACTTATATTTTAAAGAAGGATCGCTTCATGTTAAATATTTATACAATAAAAATTTTTGCGTCATGAGAATCTATGTAAGGATTTTACAAAACTTAGTGTTTTAATGGGATACTCACAAGTGAATTAATTAGGAATTAATTTTTCTTTAACTGATAACTTTTGAGTTTTCAGCTTTTAATCAATGCATTTTTATTTATTTTATCTACATATGGTTTCTCATAATAGCTGGTTGGCCTTTATATAAACTAACGAGAAACTTTGAAAACATTAAGTTCGTTAAATAGATTGAATTTGTGATACTATAGCGTTTTTTCTAAGTTTTTTTACCTTTCTAACTTCAAGAAATGTATTAGATGGGTGTCAAAGGTCTGCCTCCATAGTACTTGAAAAAATGTAATCAGTATATTATGTGAAAAACTGAAATGGAAAACAAATTACCAATTTCCTAAGTCACTTTCATTTAGTAGCCCCTGTATTCCTTTTTCCTTGTAAAATAAGGCTAAAGGAAAAGTAAACGACACGACCTATATGGTAACGGTTCTTCCCATAAATAAATTATTCTGGTAAAAACTAATAAAATTATACCAAAAAAGCAATACAGTACCTTTTTTTTTTTTAATTTTTTTTTCAACAACACATTTTTTTTTGTTTATAAAAACTGAGATGAAACGTAAAAGATTTCACATAATTACCTAATGATAAGATTATAATTTATAAAAAAATTAGTTCTACGGCTTGTTAGTATAGGTTTTTCGATCTCTCAACTTTGGTTTTATAGCAGTTCTTTATAACAGTATAGTTATTAAAATTATCCGTCTTTCCGTTCATCCTTTTTTGTCTTTTACATCATGGAACCTCAGTTTACATCTATTTTTTAAAGGATTTAATGTTTATTTAACAATGAATAGGTTGGGTTTATTAAATTTTTAACCATAATATGCACTACTTGTCCTAAAAACTTAGCTTTTATTTTTTCAACAAATGTATGCAAGCATAATGTAGTTTTTATGGACTAAACTGGGCTTACGCTAGTTTCAAGTCAGCATTCAGTAGTCCATATTTTTTCAAAGGTTTCTTTTAGTCGTAAAACCATTAACTAATATATTATCTTCGTGATAAAAAAATAAACAATAAAACCAAACTCATATGCGCTACGAAATAGGATAATATATAAAGACAACGACAATTCGGAATTTATATTTATGGTCAAACGTGATAAAAAAGCTCCCAGTATGCTAAACTTTGCTTTTCATTTTGAATGTTTGCCGGTTATACCCTCTGTGAAAAACTAGATTACAATATTTTTTTATGTCGAGCAACAAATTTTAAAAAATTGGTTTTTGCCAATTTATATATTTAACTCGGAAAACTTATTTATTAATTAATTATCTAAATATAATATTTTACAATTATGATAAGTGTAGGAGTATTTCAAATATTAGTTTCATTGGTTGCTGTGGAAGTACTACGAAACGAATAACAGTTATTTTCAACCTGAAGTAATAACCAGAAGAACTTCCTTCTTTATCTTCTATTACGTTGTTTTCGCCTGACAGGCATTATTTTCAATACTTATATTGCGCTTCTATAAAAACGGGGTTTTTAGGATAAGTGTTGACTTAAAACTTACTATGGTTTCCTTTTTGTCTTACAAAATTTGTTATTTTTTTTTTTGTTTCATATTATTTGCCCTTGAACTAAATTTATGTTTCTTTAAAGTCTATTACCTTGAATTCCGTGGAGGCAATTTTACTTCTTGACAACGATGGCTTGCGAATTGTCGCAAAATATTATAACAATAACCTAAAAAATTACCAAGAACAGCTCCAATTTGAAAAAAAAATACATAAAACAGCTAATCACTCATCTTGTATAGCATTAACTTTTAAAAAATATAATACAGCAATAGTTTAGTGATACTATTTAATACAGCCGAAATATTTTCAATTGATGGCTATACTATAGTACATCAAAGCAACGTTGATCTCATCTTTTACGTTGTTGGTTTAGAATCTGAAAATGAATTACTTTTGAAAAATGTTCTTATGACCTTTTATGATGCCGTTTCCCTGATTCTTAGGTTCTGATTATAATAACGTTTTAGATTTAAAATATTTTTCTTTTAATTATAGTCAGTATAGAATCTTAAACCTAAATTTATTAATAAATGTTTCACCTTTTTTTGTTTATGCTCATATAACAATATATAATATATATTGGTAAAATAGACAAGAGGTTGAAAAAAAGAATGTGATGGAGCGTTTAAGTTCCATTTATTTAATTGTCGATGAACTTGTGGATAATGGGTATTAAAGATTTTGTTAAATTATATAAAAATTTTAGAGGTAAAGAGGAATAAATAAATTTAGTTATATTTTATTAGTACGTTCAATATTATTTCTATATTATAAGAATTATTATGGGGTGCGATAGCGGACTACTCGCCTCCAATTGTGATATTGGAGGCATTACTTCAAGTCTTAGTGAAGATCTTTCTACTGCCGAACAAAAATTAGCGCAAGCCTTCCAAGCAGCTCGAAATCAATTTGTTTCTTCTTTTTTAAAATAAAATAATTCTAAATTTTTTTGGATTCGATAAATCTTACTGATAAAAATTCAATTAACTCGTTTATAATGTATAAATATCTACTTTACATTAAAAATTAATTTTTCAAAAAGTTTCGGTATAAAATTTTTCAAGTTAAAAACTTTACTAGATTTAAAAGAACGCAAGAATAAGTTCATTTTAATTGTGGAATTGAGGGTCATTTATTACTTATTAAACAAAAAAAACTATATAAAATTCTTGCAAGTTTGTTAAAAGTGGATTAGGAATGATAAAAATTAATTCTAGTAATTATATATAGATTTACGGTTTAGTGATTGTTCGGAGTAAAAACAAAGATTACGAATTTTAATAATATTGTAAAGTTTAACTTTGTTAGGATTAGATATATAATATACAAAAAGTGCTTAAAGTCAAACTTGACTAGAATTATTGCAAAGTTTTATATTAAGTGAATTAGCTATTACAATAATTAGATTTTTAGCAAATATATACTACGGTTTGTTGGGTGGCTGGCGTTAAAATAATATTCTAGTCGAAGCCAATTTTAATAATACTAAGCATATCCTTGTAATTAATTAATATTATCATCTCAAAACTAGAAAGTTAAATGTGTATTTTTTAAAGGCTATAGTGAGGAAACAGCAAAGCTATAAGTAGTTTATTCAGTCTTATAGAAAGATTTATGTAATAAAGTTTTTTCGTTTTTTTTTTAGTTGAATTGTTCAATCATTCTTGAGTATTACATAAATTTAAGTTTTTTTTTTTTCCAGTACTTAAAATTAGCATCCCCGGAAGAATCGGCTATGATACTGCTTCTTTGTCACCCATTTTTTTTTTTCAATCTTTAAATTCTTAATGGTCGAGTTTAGTGTTAACTAAATATTTATTAAGAGTAGTAGTTGCTTATGCAATTATTTAATCCAGTAACGCTTTTAGAAAACCTCCAAAACTCTCGAATTCTTCATTCTTTGGATAATGTAGGAAATTAATGTTTATGTTTTAAGAAAAAGGATCTTTATTTACCATAAATTTCTTATATTTTTATGTCTGATATGTTTATAAATAGTGTCTAGATTATTTCTTTATCGTTGCTTATAACTTAACTGTGGCTAGTTCCCATGCTATATTGTCTAAAAATTAAAAATTTATTCTAACAAAGATTGTAGTCATTATAATACGTATTATTATTGTATTATTTAAGTTGAGAGTTGGGAGAAATATAGCACATACCTGATGGTTTTTTTTAAAATTTGTATACAACAATTAGCTTATGGAGCTTATTGAGAAACATACTTATCATTTATATAAATGTTTACTTTCATATTTTAAGCCGATGAGTTTACACTAAAGAATTCCTTCATAAAATCGATTTTCCACTCTTTTTCTGCAAGCGGGCGGAAAGGTTTGATGAAGAATACTTATTAGTAAAGATTTCCTTTGTCCTGTTGTGATAAACTTTCGTTAACTGCATCCCTAAAATGACTATTTTTACTAAAAAATTTTGTTCAAAAAGTTACATTGTAAAAGATTTGTAAATAGCATTGTCCGCCTTTTATAAATTAAATTTTAATAGCCCTACACTTTAGTTATAAATTAGGTAATAATTTTTATCAGATAATGTACAAACTTTTGAAAGGCGTTTAACTTAAATTTAAGTTCTAATTCAGTATTTCAGCGAATTTAACAAAAGTTATAAGCTCAAGATTTTTATTTTTTCATAATCTTTTGTTAATATTTATTACAATTAACCAAAATCTTTTAAATAATTTCTTTTCTACAATATTTTCTAAAGGCTATAAACTTCTGTTTTAACGATTTATTTAGCAGAGAAGTTCGAATTTATTTACGGTTTTTTTTGTAGCCTAAAAGCATATTGAAACTTATAGTTGCAAAAAAAAAAATAAACTTAAAATAATGAGAATAACACAGAAACATAATTAGCTATATTTCGTTTTAACATACTACAGATAACTTTATTTTAATAAATTTGTCGATAAATAAATTATTGGTAAATTCCTCTCGTATGCTAAATACATAATAAAAAACTATTATTAATTAGTGTTTACTATTGCCCTTTTCTGTGATTACTGTTTTAATAATAAAATATTAATTCAAGTTACAAAGAGTCGAGTAATTGTTTAAAGATTTCTTCATGGAAACTAATAAAAAGTTGTGAATGTTGCTTTCCAGGATAGTTGCAGTGAGGCTCGCTAAGCCAGTATAAACCTTCAAGTTTTTAGAAAGAATGTTTTAAAATCGTGTTTTTCCGCATTTTACACACTGGTATTGCGACGCACAAGATCGATAATTGACATTATTAGTAGAAATATCGGGAAATAAAAATTTATGAAATACGATTGATAAAAAACTTTCTTGACTTCCTTTAGACACACCTAAAGTTATAAATCTTGAACTGTAGACTTGAGAAATTTCACTGGATGGGTAATAAAAAATTGGTTAATATTAATGTTAAGTTTTTTAAAAACTCAAGAGAAACGAAAAAATATTTAATGTTTTTAAATTTAGAAATAGTATTATCGTTTCTAGGTAACTTCTTTAATGCAAAGAACAAAGGAGTTTTGTTTTGAACATACTTTTTCATTCAGTAAAAGTTCTGATTTTCTAGTTCTCTTATAACTTCGTCTAAGTTAACCTTTTTTTTTTTAAAAAAAAAAAAATTAATAAACGGCTTTGGGTTCTTTTCTGAAAAGAAGGCGATAATTGCAATACTCAAACTACTTTGAATCTTAATAAAAAAATTTATACGTCTGTAGTCTTGCTGACTTAGCGTTATTTATATTATTACTTTTCATACTATTGTTGTAATTATTAAGTTGGTAGTCTTTACTATTATTAGTATTTGTAAACATTTTATTACTATAATTATGGCTATCTTTAATAAAAATTTACAATACTTTTAAAATTTTTAAAACCACCTCCATTATTCCGTAATCCTTTTAATATTTGAAAAGTAGAATATGGTTTAGAACCGGTAGTAACTGTGTTTATCCTTCAGTTCAATAATTTTCGTCTTTTAACAAATAATATATAATCTTTTTTTTCCTTTTCAAAAATTTATACTCGCGTTTCAAAAGACTTTCAGTCTCTTTTTATAATTCTTTATTTGCGGTCAATAAGGCGGCGATAACTTTTTGTTTTCCGCTGTTAGTAGACGTGGATTTCATGGGGCTAGAAGAGAAGAAAAAAAAATAATTAGATCGTAATAAAAATCAATATATTATAATTAATAGTAAAGTAATAATAACAATATTGTATTAACATCCATTAATGTAAAAAAATTACTGTTATTTATATGTAAACTGGCATAATTGGTCCCCTATTAAGTATACTACCTTAAAAAAAAGAAGGCACAACACACACTTATAAGTTATATAAAGCCAATAATTTTTTGTATATTATTGAATAGACATAATAGATAATTTATATAATAAGGATTGTATTACTTATGTCTTTGGTAAATAAAGTTATATTTTAACTCACAGATTATACCGGAAATAATAAAATTGATTTGAATGTTTTTTGCATATTCATTAATAACTGTAAATTGGTTTATTTGCACAGCGAATAGTTTAAAACTATTAGTCCAAGTTTTCATCTTTCTTAAAAAGTAGCTTAAAATTTTATTCAACAATATTTATTATCTGTTGCTATAGAATGGTAAACAAAAGTTTAAAAATTACTATTTTTTTTTATATAGTAATAAAAATAAACCTACAATTTAATAAAGTAATTATGAAGTCTACACTTATGGTTACTGACTGTTAAAGTTATTAATAAGTGAAAGTTGACTCACTAAACTATTATAATTTTTAAACCAGAGTCATCTAACAAGTAATTTTAAATACAAAAATTTAAAAAAAATTGTAACTCACAAAACAATTAATAACCCTCCTACATTGTTTTTAACAAACACTTAACAAATCGCTAATAAATATATAAACTATAGCGCCTATGCCTATGATACAGAAGTAGAATGGAGTAGAAACAGGTTTAATGAATTGGTCTACATCAGTATCCGTATAACAAAAGTGGAGTAGAAGGTGCGGTATACAGCGCATTTATATATACGCTAATTATTTTAATGCATTAAAATTCACGGCTGGTTTTTGTAACAGCCGTCATTGGTTATAAGTATCATGAGAAGAGGTAAAATTTCTTCAAGGCGTGCCGACATGCTGTAACTATAGTGGATTTTGCGAGATTAATGTTTTCGTGAACTATTTGTTATAGATAAACAAAACATATATTAGAGATTTATCGTAAATGCATTAAACTGTAAAAATTTATTTGATAATTTTTAAGCTATGTGAAGAGCACAACCCACACAGTTAAAACAAAAGCAAGGAGAAGAAAAAAAGTGTGTACATGCCACGTATTTCATAACACCAATTAGTAATGTGCCCTCGAGTTATATACACTAAAAAATCTAAGAAACACTGTATATCTTTTCATTAAAAACTGCCTTATTATTGAGTGGAGTCAACCGTTGAGCCAAACGATAATTTCCATGAAACAATTCCAACTTAAGAATTGACTAAGTGGTGTATTTATTACAAAAGCTTTACAAGCTCAAACTGTAATGCATACCTAAATTAAAATTTATAATACTTTCTAATAAATGTTTATGAGAATTTCCGGTAAAAAAATATTTATATCTTTTTTAAATCTAACTGTTAGCTAAAGCAAAACTCCTACATTAGCGGTGCAACTAGCGAAGATGTTTAACTCTGCCCAATGACTTATGGTGAAAGATAAACCTTTATGAAACAAAAAAATCTTTTAAGTGGTGCTTAAGTTTAAGTTTTATTATATAAAGCATAATATCGCTTTGTTCCACAATTTCATCTATAGTATATCTCAACAAATATTCTTGGATTATAAAGGAAGGGATACATTTCTTCCAAAAAAATAATCACTTCCGTTTTATATTACGCTGTTCAGATAAATAAACTGAAAGTTCACAGTTAAAAATGAATACTTAATAAAAAAAAAAGTTAGAAGTGAGTCGTTTATTAATTAAATGAGTATTTTTTGTGTATGAAAAACATTGTAAAAGAGATATAATTTAATTTTTTAAAATAGGCGACCATGAGAAAGCATTATGTAAAAACGGCGTTTAGTGAATATTTCTATTTCTATTTAAATATAAGTATTTGCACTAATAAGAATTTCAACGCGATACCCTCATATACTTATTAATAATACATTTGTGTAGGGCTTTCCTCAGGAGGTTACCATAATTATAAAAATAATGAACCAAGTATTAAGATATCAACGAGAATTCATGAAAAAAAAATAATAATACAGTTTTTAAATTTCAAAAAAAAAAAAAGATTACAGTTTGGATAAGACAGCTATCTTTATAGCGCTTACAAAAGATGATAAATATCATTTTATGTATATTTTAACAAAATATGTTCTATTAAAACTATTTTTTTAAAGTTACATGCTCGTTCATAAAAGGTTAACTGAAAAGTATTCCAGCTTTTATTATAAATTTTTTTCAGTTATTTTTTATAAAAAATAAATTAATTAACTTTTTAGTATATACAATTTTATTTTACCCCTAAAATAAACCTTTGAGTCCCCCATGTTTACTTATTTGGTCGGTGTTTATACCCCCAATCATATAAAGTTTATTTACACATAATAGGAAACGCGTTTGACACTTGAATTTTTCTAAAGCAAGCTCTTCACTGCTCTGTTTTACTTTTAACTCTTCTTTAAATAACATATTTTACTTATAATCATGTTACTGTTTTGCTTAAATAAATAAAGAATGGGTTCAAGTATATCTTATTCTATATATGAAGAAAGCTATCCGGAAGTGGATTCAAGCGATTGTGAATTTTTTGATGCTGTGGATTCACCCGCGAATCGCAGTGTTGATGAAGGTTTTATAGTTTCTGTTTAAGGAGTAAATAAACTCTTTAAAATTTTTTATATTTATCATAATTAGAAAGTTTTTGCTATGAAAGTTCAGCTTCTCTCCTGGATGCTTCTAATCTCGTCAAGGAGATGAGTTCACATCCTTGGATCGTTAAGGATTATAAATTTTTAAACAAAAAAGAAAAAGTACAGCTGTTAAATAAAGGAAGTTAGTATGTTTTTTTTATTTTTTATAATTTTTATTATAAAAGTATTAATAAATAATAATAAATTTTTCGTTAATCTTCTGAATTTTTACTTAGTTTATATAATTATTTTAATTTGATTAATCTCTTAAAAAAAAGTAGTTACTGGTATTATTTCTATTAAAATTACTTTAACTTTATTTTTTCATACGCTAATAAAAATTTTTATATAGATTTATTTGAGAGAATGCGTCTTTTTAAGTATAAAAAAAAAGTTGTTAATTTGTAATTAATAAAAAAAATAATTGAAGATAAACAAACTTTTTAAGCAATGAATAATTAATTGTAAAGAAAGTCTAATTTTTTTTAGGGATATTTTTTATGATTAACTTCTAATATTTCAAATTGTTAATTATTTTAGTTTAAAAAAAAGTTGAGCTTTTATTAATAATTTTACTAAAAAATAATTTTATACGAAAATTTTTTATTACGATTTAAAAATAAAAGTTATTAATAAAAAATATTTATAAGTTTATTAAAAAAATTTGTTTAAGTGTTTTTGAAATTATAATTTTAAAGTTTTATTATAATGTATAAGAAGTTATAATTTTGTTAATTTTTACTTTTTACAACGATTCTTAGTATAAAAAATAATTATAAAAAAATTTGTAAAATTTAAAATTTAAAAAGATTAATTATTTAAAAAAAAATTATTTTTAATATTTTTATTTATTTAGTAGTTTTTAACTAAAACTTTGAAATTTTTAAATAGATTTTTGGTCTACAAATTAAATAATGGAATTTAAATTTTTTGATTTACAATTTGAAAAATTAGAATTAAATTTTAATTTAGTTTTTGTTATTCACTTTTTAATTGATTTCATTATAAAATAAAATTTAAGATTTTCTTTATGAGTAAAATATTTGAATTATTAATTAAAGTTTATAATTTTTTTATTTAAATTAGAAAATATTTTTATAAATTTTAGCAAACTCAAAAAAATATCCTAAATTTTTATTTTAAATATTATAGTTTTATATTAAACTTTTTTCATTTGAATAAAAGTTTTAATTATTTTTTATGATTTTAAAATTTTTAGTAATTTTTTTTAATATAATTCAATAAATTCAAATTTTTCTTTAGATAATTTAAAATATTTATTATTGATTTAAAAAATTTATAAACTTTTTTTTTATGGTACAAAAATGATTTAAAAAAGTTAACAAAAAATAATAAAAGATTTAAAAAGAAAAAAAATATAAAATTTTCTGGTGCAAATCAAATTTATAATCAATTTTAAAAAATATATATAATCGAATTTCATAATTGAATTATTCTTTTTATAATTTATTAGAAAAGTTTTATTAATAATATAAAAAAGACTTATAAGAGTATATATATAATCTAACTATTTTCTAGTTATAATTTATCTTAACAAAAATTCTTCAGTTTTACTTTTTTATAAAAAACAAAGTTTTAATTTATTTTTGATTTAAGAACTTTTCTTTTTAGTTTTATAGTCGTTTGCTTTTATAAGTAATAAATATAAATTTTTATTAGAAAAAAATATTTTATTATTTCAATTTTATTATTAATTAATAAATTTTAAATAAAATTTCTGCTTTTTTATTTTTTTAATTTTAACTAAATTTTATTAATTTTTTTAATTTTTTTTTAATTGTATAATTTTATAATATAATTTTTCTTTTTTAACTAGACTTTTATCTTTTGCGTTGATTTTAAATTTTTATTGTTTATATTTATTTTAATTCTCAAAATTTCAATCTCCATTCTAAAAAAAGAATAAACTTTTTACTTTTAATATTTTAAGTAAAAGTAATTTTAACAGAATAAATCTTTTTTTCATTTACAGAAAAATAAATTTTGAATAATTTTTTTCCGAGATTTTTGTTTTATTATTTAAAAAATAATTTCAACTAAATTTTTTTATTAAGTTTTTTTTTTCTTTTTGAGAAATATTAATATTAATAATACATATTTAAACAAATTAAGTTTTGTTTTTTTAATTTGTAGGGAAATTAAAATAATATTTTTACTTTCTGAAAACGTTAATTTCTTAATATTAAAATTTATATTAGTTTAGACAGAAATAACAAATTATTATTTGTATTTAAAAGAAAATTAATATAATATTATATAAAAAATTTAAATTATAGCTAAAGAAAATTTTAAGGTAAATTTCTAAAAATTTATGTAAAGAAAATAAATCAAACTTTTTTTTTAACTATTATAATTTATATGAAATTTATTATAACAAAACTTTTTTGTACAGAATTTATTTTTAAAAACAATTTAAAGTTTTACTTTTTCAAAATTTTTTTTACTATAAATTTTTTTAAATTTTATTTTCTTTTTAAATTTATTTAATACTTTTTTATGCATTTTGTTATGTTTTACTTTTTTCCTAACAAATTTATAATAATCCATATTTTTTTATTTTCTTTTCGAATTTATTTCACTTTTGCAAATTCATTTCTTTTCAAAATTTATTTTTTTTAATTTTTTTTGCGAATTTTTTTTGAAAACTTTTGTTTCATTTTTTATCTGAATATTTTATTTTTTAAAATTTGTTATATCTGTTTTATTCGTCTTTTCATTGGTCAGGCACTTTACTTTCCTTCTGCTGCCACGGCGGAGCGGGTTTATCAGAAGCCGAAAAAAACATCGTTGATTCTTTTATTAATATGAGTTACGCTTTTCAAGACGAAGTAAAGGAAAATGGTGGAGTGAATTTTACTTTTTACTGTTATTATGATTACTATAATTATTATTATAAATATTATGAACTTTTTAAAATTATATTAAAGGAGTCCCTTTTCTTGATATTAATGATGAACTCGACTTGAAAAAGTATACCGTTTTTATTATGAAGGTGTTTATATTATTATTATTTATATTAGTAATATTTTTATTTTTATTATTAGAAACGTTTGCTAAGTACTTATTAATTGGTTTATTTTTTAAACTGAGTTGCTATAGGAGATTTTTTTTTAAATTTGACTCTTATTGGCTTTAATTTTGTAACTATTTTTAATTGGTTTAAATATTCAAATTAATATTTTTGCTCTAATGACTGGTACTTTAAAATTTTTTGCAGCCAATCAAAATTTTCATAAACTTTAAATATTAACTTAATTGATTCCTTTTCGTTACTAAACTATTTATACTATTTTTTGCGTGCTTTACAAAAAAATATCTTTTTACCAAAAAAAATAAGTAAAACAATTTTTTCCTATATCAGTATTTCTCCCTGATAATTTTATACAATAAAAGTTTGTTCATTTTTGCTTTCCTTTAATGTGAAAAAAAAGTCTAAAAAAAAAGTAAAACAGATTTAACAGACTTTTTTTTTTACATCAGTATTTCTCGCTTATAACTCTTTTCAGTAATAATATCCCAATTTTTATACTTCTTTTAAGTCAAAATAAGTCTTCCCAGCAATAAAATAAGTAAAACAAGCTTTTTTTATCTTTGGTATCGCTCGCTAAGTAACTCTACAATAAAGTTGACTTAGTTTTGCTCTCCTTTTTTTAATCAACAAAAAGTATTTACAGCAATATAATATAGTAAGAAAAACTCTTTTCAACTTCAGTATCCCCGCTGGTTGACTTATACAATAAAGTTTGCTGAGTTTTGCACTCAATAAAAAAATAAGTTTTTCAGCAATGACCTTAAGTTTCTCAATCTTTTTTCATCTTTAGAAACGTTCGCTGGTTTTCTTTTTTAATAAAAAAAAAGATTTTCCTACGAAAAAAATTTAATAAACAGACTTGTTTTTTAACATCAGCATCGCTCGCTGTTAGCTCTTTACAGCAACTTTTTGGCTTTATTAAAAGTTTTTATTAAAACTACTTTTCTCCTGTTAAGTTTAATAAAAACTAAATTTTCTTAAAAAATTTCTTCGCCATTTTATACAAAATCCAGTAACGTACTTTTTTTAAGTATATACTTCACCAAAGTTTTGTTTTCTTGTAAAATTTAATAGTTTTTTAAACATTGACAAGCAGTACAATTTTTATGAGGCGTGTTATCTTTATAAAATCTGTTTTGCTTAAAAAATTTAACCAAAATAGTAGTATTTTAAAGAGAAACGAATAAATTTTTTTTATCTTAAAAAAGCGTGTAATCCATTCAATATTTTTACAACCGTAAACTTTCTTTCAACACTATTTCAGAAATATAACGTTATAGTTTCGTAAAAATTCAAAGGAAAAATTTATGTTAAGAAGAGTGAATACTTTTAAAACTTTAAGTTGTCAGTGAGCACAATTATTTTCTCTTATTAAAATTTTTTAGTCGCGCTCTTAAAAAAAATTAGAAATGGTCAGTGTGAATTTTGCTTTCCTTTAAAATTGTTTATAATAAAACTTTAAAGTACCAAATATTTTTGTAACTTGTATTTCGGCAGATTCTAGGTTTTATTAAAAATAATTATAATATTCTAAATGGACGATTATTATAAATAATTCTTATTATAGTTTTTTGTTTCTTTTTTAAATTTTCTTAATACAACGTTAAAAAAATTTACTATAAAGCGTTTTTAATTTTTGTAAATAAAAAGAAAGAATTAGTATATGGAGTTTTATAATAATTGTACACAAGCTTTAACTCAAAAAATTTATAAACACCGCTATTTAACTTTTAAAAATTTTTATAGTTTGAAAAATATTATTTTATAAATATTTAAACATAATAATTTATTTATAATTTAAATAAAACAATAATGAGGGTAGTTTTTCTCTAGATATAAATATCTATAAAGAAAAGTTATCAATGACATTAATTATATTTATATATATTTTTTTTTATTGTTTATTGTTTTCATTAATTATTTTAATTTTTTATTTGAAAAACGATTCACTATTTTATAATAAAACTTTTTATTAATAATAATTAATACAATTTTGTTATTATTCATTAATAAAATATAACACTATTTTTTATAATTTATTATTTTTATTCATTAACCGTATTCATAATTTTTTTTAGTAATTATGTTTAGTTATAAATTTTTATTCTTTTTTTTTTAATACAACATTAATAAAATCTTAACTATAAAGTAATTCGTTTTTTACTATAAAGGTCGCTTACCTTATTCCAGACGTCACTTTAGAAACAATAACTCCAGAGTTAATAAGTAGCGATGAGTACATATTAAAATGTGTTCCGGGCCCTCCTATACTTTGGTATAATTTTTTTCCAGTAATAATAATAACAATAACAACAATAATAAATAGTATTAAATAAATTTACTTGCCAACTTTAAAAACCCGTAGGCTTTTTTATATAATTCCAAAGCGTAAATCTTGTGGTAATTAATGACTTATCTACCAATCAATTAACTTTGTTTAATTTGTTACTTTCGTTCCACCAATCAACTTAATTCATCATACTGAAACATCACGTGGAACCCATATGTTAGTATTACCTCAACTCTTCTTTATGTATTGGTTAATATTTTATCTCTTTTATATGATTGGTGAGATTTCAATTATTTTTAGCGTTTTTTTTACTTTTTTTTTAATATTAAAAAAGTTCCGGATCTCCTGATAAGACGACCTTCCGGATATCCAAAACGGTCATTCCTTACATCTATAACGTCACGGTCCAATTAAAAGTCTCAGAAATTACAAGCCAAAAGGGTAGCCTTTCGTCAATATCTGATGAATACTTTAAGGCTACTTGTATAGCTATTGGATAATTTTTTCTTTGTGTAAAACTATTGATTGTAAGGATTATGCTGTAATCCACTATCAAATTGGTAAATTTTGTTTCTATTAATTAAAAGCAAAGTTTTTAATTGGTAATAATGGACCAGTTAATTTAAATTAAAATACTTAACACTACTTGCAGAGAAGATTTAGAATGACCACATATCGTTGGTTAAAATTTTTTACCGAAAGACTAATGAATGCTAGTTTATATTAAACTAAAATCACAATGTAAAGTGACGAAATGCAGACCAGTCGTTGCTTATTGGTTAAAATATTTCCAAAATGGACCAAATAGTGTTGTTTCAAGAATTTTACTAACGCAGGCCTTTTAATAGACTAATATACTTCCAAAAAGAATCAATAAGTGTTAGTTTAAATAAGGACCATACTTATGCAGTTTCTTTAATTGGTTAATGTTTTTATCAAATGAGTTAATAAGAGCTGGTTTTAATAAGAATTTTACCTAGGCCCCCGTTTTTTATTGGTTAATATACTTACAAACTGGACCAATTATTGCGTTATTTAAAGTTGTTACTTTTTACTGTTCTTTCCGATAACTTTTCTATTCCATTTTACTTATAGCTACTTTTCTTATGGTTTTTAATATAATTTTTATTAATTTATATATTTGTTTATAAATGATTATTCATTATATAAACTGCTTTTAAAGAATTAGTGAATGTTGCGCGTGTAGCGTAATACAAATAGTAATTGGTTAAAATAACAATTTTTTTTAAAAAACAGAAGTTATCATTTTTTTTAAATAAAAAAAATTAAAACTTATTAAGAAAAAAATGAGCCAATGAGAGCTAATTTGGTTGAAACTAACTTCTTAATTATCCAATCATTAACCTTTTAGTTTTCTTTAATTATTTTATAAATTTTTTTACGCCACCAGAATTTTTATTACAAATAAATAAATTTTCTAATAAAGAAAATAGTACCATAAAATTATAATCTAAAAATAGAAAACATAATTTAAAGTTTTCCGATTTCTTTAATCGTTTTAAAATAATTTTACTAGCACCAATAAAAATGTGTAAACAAAAAAAAATTATAATAGAAATATTTATGAACAAAAAGTAAACTCCTTAAGTATTAAAATTTTTTATAGAATTTTAATATTATTTTGATTTTCAATTGTTAAATTTTATAAATTTTTAATCTTTTATATAATTTTTACTAACAAACATAAAATAAAATAACCAAAATATCTTATAATAAATTAAGTAACCAAAAATCTATTACTAAATAGATTTTTATCCAAAAAATGAAAATGGGAAATCTTAGATTTCAAATTCTTCATTTTTTCTAATATTTTTAAATTAAGTTTACTAACACAAAAAAGAACATAAAAAACTGAATGAATTATAGTAAAAATATTAATGAACAAGAAATAAAATTTATAAATAATGATTTTCATATGAAATTTTATTAAAAAATTAATAAAAATCTTATTTTTAAAATTTATAGAATTTTCAATCTTTATAGATTTAATTTACTAACACCAATGAAAATATATAAACAAAAGAAATATAATAAAAATATTTACGAACAAGAAAAGAATTTCGTAACAAAAATGGATTAAAAATAATAAAAAAAAGAAAAATGGAAATCTTGGTTTAAACGTCTTTAAATAAATTTACTAACACATTAAAATATATAAACTAAATAAATTGTAATAAAAATTTTAAGGACAAAAAAATTATTTTTACAAATACTAATTTTTTTTTCCAGGTTTTAATTAAAAAATTGGAAATCTTAATTTTTAATTTTATTTTTTTTTAATAAAGTTTACTTCAACTATATATATAAACCGAAGAAAAGTATAAATTTCGTTACAAACAAAATTAAATTTATATAAAATTTTAATTAAAAGATTGTAAATCTTAATTTCCCAATTTTTTTTAAATTATTTTTACAAATCAATATATACAAACTTTTCAACTTTTTTTACTAAAATTTAATTTTTTTTTCAAATATTATTATAATAAATTATTTTATTATACTTTTTAGATTTAGCGCGCCTCTCTTCTCTCGACGGCGCCAAAATTGACCGAGCGCTGATCATGGAACGAACCAAAAGAAATATAAGTAAATTCGATTCAACGGCGAAAGTTATTATTATTACTATTATTATTATTATAATTTCCGTTATAATTATTATTATTTTTACTATTATTTATATTATTTTAATATAATATTTATTATAATTTTTATTATTATTGTAAATATACTTTTTAATAATACTATTTATAATAATTTTTATTACTTTTACATTTATTATTGTATAATGTAGTATTATTATTAGTATTATTATTAGTTTTACTCCTATTATTTTATAATAAATATGTTTCTTAAAATTTTTATTGTAATTATTATTATTACTTTCACATTATTATTTAAAATAATAATATTATTAGTATTACTTTTATTATTATTATTTTTTTTTATAACTATTACTTTTATTCTTTCATAATTATTGTGGTTATTATTTTTATTATCTCTATTTCTTTATTATTTGCATATATATTACAATTATTTTTAATTTTTTATTACTACTACTATTCTAAGAGTAATTATATATATTATTATTACTTGTTAGGCAGAGCATACACGTTAATTGTCTTAATATTATTAGGACATAAAAGCCAATCATAACTTTAAAAGTTTTTAGTAGCTTTAAAGCCTCCCAAATATTTTCTAGAAAATTTTTAGCCAATTAACTTATTGTTAATTATTAAAATTACGTTTGAAAAAAGAATTATTGGCCACTAGAATTGGTTATTAATTTTTTATTGGCTACAGTTAATATGCATTTTCGCCAGGAAAGTTTAGACTAAGGCTACACTTAGCAGTACTAAAAAATCTTAATAATGAATCAATTTTTTATATTTGGAAATAATCACAAATTTGCTTGGAAGTTCATGAACTTATAAAATTTATATTCACGGCAAAAAATACTATAATGAGAACTGATCTGGTATAGTGTATAAAATTTACTATTAAGTTATTTTTTCGAGGAACTATTGAAAAAGTTATACTAAAAATATTTTCTAAACATGATAATTCATTAACGACAATTATTAATATACAAAACATTAATAAAATATTAGTACATATAACTTCCGGTGAAAGTTATACTAAAAGAAAATAAGTAAATAGTTTAAAAGCGGTTAATTGGTAAATATTTATTTCTTTGCAATTTGATTGGCTCACTTTGTAGAATTTATATACCTCGTTAGAAGTTTTACTTAGCAATATTTTTATTTTCCTTCTAAGCAAAAGGCTGAAGTTATATTAAAAGAGTCGTTCCTAGCTTATAGGCTAAAAGCAAAAGTTATATTATAAATATTTATTTATTTTAGTTATAAGCAGAAAGCAGTAGTTTTATTAAAGAGTCTTTCTTTATGTATGGACAAAAAGTAAAAGTTAATTCAAAAAATATTTATTTGTTTTACTTATAAGCAAAAAGCAGATGTTATACTGAAGACTCATTTTAGTTATTTATAGGCCAAAATTAAAAGTTAGAATTAAAAATATGTATTTATTAACTTCTAAGCAAAAATCAGAAGTTATATTAGAGTCATTATTTATAGACAAAAAGTAAAATTAATACGAAAAGCAGTAGTTATAGTAAAAAGTCATTCTTTCTTTATTTATAGGCAAATAGTAAGAGTTATTAAAAAATATTTACCAACTTAAAAGCAAAAAGTAGAAGTTATTAAACTTATATATAATTTTTATTAAGTATAAGGGCGTCTCTTAATATGTTTGTAGGCATAAAGTAGAAGTTTTTCACCTAGAATTATTTTTCTATTTTTTAGTCCAAAATTAGGAGTTATACTAAAAAATATATATTTTTTTTATTAATTGGCAAAAAGTAAAAGTTGTACTTACATAATTTATACATAAAAATAATTTATTTCTTTACAAAGTGAAAATTATAGTCAGACTAAAAGTATTTTTTTATATCCATAAAGAGCAGTAGAAGTTACAAGTAACAAAAAAATATTTTATTAGCCAAAAGTAAAAGTTAAAATTATACTAAAAGTATTATTTATAGCTAAAAAGAGCGTTTCTTAAAGTAGAAGTTAAAAATTAAAAAAATATTTATTTATTTTTTTTATAAAGAAGTTAAAGTTATACTAAAAAATATTTTATTTCTTTACAGGCTAAAAGCCTTTTAAGCTATAGAAAAGTAAAAGGAGGGCTTTTTGTTACAAATATCACAGTCATTCTAAATACTCTCGTGCCAGCGTTCATCTCCCCATTTGTAGATCGCTTAGGCAAGTTTTTTTTTTATACTTTTTTTTTTTTTTTTTTTAATAAAATGTGTTTACTATTTGGTTAAACGTTTGTAATTATGCTTAATATTTTTTAAAAGTGATAAAAACTTCTATATTTGCACGAGTGGGAGGAGTAAAAGTGGTTCACAAAAAGTTTGCTGTAGTAATAAATAATGATAATAATAGTAATAACAGCAATAGTAACCTTAACCTAACCTTTTTATTATTTCGAAGTTTCATATACAATTGTTATTTATATTTAAAAAAATTAATCTGCAAAGTATATGTTAAGGTGATTAAATTAGAAGGTCTACACAACTTACAGTACTACAAGTCTAGTAAATTAGTTTGTTTTTTTCTAAAATCAAAGAAAAAGCATTTATTAAAAAATATATATAGAGTAATAAAAATATATAATAATAATCCTCAGATAAATAAGGGTTATAGGTCAACAATATTAATAGAATAACAAAAGTGGATGATAATAAGAAGTAAAATATATCAAAAGTTACAATAAAATAATTACGATAATTATAAAAAGCAAAAGAGTAAACAAGCACTGTAGGAATTGAAAAAATGAAAGTTTGCTTTACTATAATAATAATCCATGACAATATTTAATTAAGTTTAAGTATTAAATTAATAACCACTTTTTAATATAGTTTTTTACTGCTAATAAAATTTTTACTAGATATATTAGTAGTAGCAATTAATATTTACTTTAATTATTATAAAACTGCAGTTGGAAACTCATTCTGGGCCTTTTCTAGTGGTAAAAAAAAAAGAGCGCATACACAACGCTTAAAACATTTCTGCCCTCATAAAAAACTTCACATATTTTAATAAAGCAAAGAGATGAATGTATTTAGCGGCAAAAAAGGTATAAGTAATTAGAAACTTTATATATTTTGTGAAGGCTTGAGTTGCGGGAGCTCTTTTAATAAATAATTTACTGTGCAGACTTAATACTTTAAGCAAAATATTTATAAAAGCTTTTTTTACTCTATATGTACGATACTTTAATGTAGAATTTTTTGCTTTTGAAAAAGTTAAACAATCATTTCATAATAAATGCTAAAATATCTTGCGAGTAACGAAGAGAGTTATTAGAGATGGGTAGAACATACAAACTTGAACTATTATCAGTAAGTTG